CCATTTGCTCGTAGCTGGCCTAACAACCTGACCGGAAAAGGCAGGGGGAGATTGGCACGGTTATTTCTGGCTTATTATCTGTCATCAGTCGGTTAATACCGACACTGGGTTTGGATCATCTGGAATAAGATGCGGAATTCATGGATTCTTAGGCGTTTTTATTTCCAGCGTTCCGTAATTGAGGCACGAACCTGCTGTTTTATGGGTTGCAAGATGGGTTCATTAACTATCGTAGGATGGCCGCTCACCAATCAATTTCGAAGATATTCTCGTCCCGGTACGCTTTTGAGATCAATAGACAGCCATGGTTTGTGATCACACAGCAGCCAGTAATGACACAGGACTGGGGCAAGGGAGACTGTAATGGACGTTTGTAGCTTATTAGGCATCGTCAGTGAGCCATAACCTGCACCAGGTTCACATAACCTGGGAATGTTCATCATGTATATTTTGCGTGATCACAGCTAACGGGGAGTGTTTAAGGTATCGGTACGGTTGTGCGCGTGTGACCAGGCTAGGCGTGCTGTGTCTCTGTTAATTCAACTGGTCAACCTTACCGATTTATCGATCAGCAGGCCTGGTTCAACTCAACGTGGACGCATAAAGTTAGTTGGCTCCAGTATGAAACTTAGTGTGCACCTGAATGCTGTGTTTGTGTTAATTCCCGCGCGAACTTTCAACCAAATCGTCAAGCTCATTGGTTTATCGATCGGCTGACTTGGCTCAAATCAATGTGGAAGCATACACCTAGTTGACTGCTATACTAAACGTTGTCCGGACTCCGATGAGCATATTCCATGGCAATTTGAATGACGGCAGTAGCCTGTGGGAAAAAATATCACCAACACACAGAATGACAATTTAACCAATTTCCGTTTGCATTGAAGCTAAAAAACGATTCCCATTGTGCCTTGGGAAACAAATGCGGCAGATAAAAGCCTCTAGTATCCTATCTCTGGTACAAATAAAGGAAAGGGGGTTTAGTTAATATAGCTCAATCGACACAGTTCTGTTGTTTTTTAAATTCTAAAATGGGTCTTTAAGAGCAGACAAATGCGCAATAAAGATGAGTTATGTTGCCTCAAAACAGGATTTGAGTACAAGAATTATTTGCGCCAAATTCCAGGGGAAATATAATTAGGGTATGGATTATGTATAATGTTAAAGTAACGCTTATCCATAAGGGAAGATAGGTCTGAATATAATGATGGGTGTAAGCTTAATGTTAACTGTAGACTGAGGGCTAGGATTAACACTAGGGCTGGACGTTAGGGTTAGGGTGCGGGAATATTTACCCCTCCTGGAATTATGCGGAGGGTCAGTGTTTTGTCCTCCAGTTGTATGTGTGGAATAGAAGATAGACGCGACAGCAGAGAGCCAGTTTACTGCAACCGTCTCTGTGTGTACATCAGCTTCTACGCGTGTGACTTAACTTGTTCCCCTGTCCAGCAGCCGTCTGCGTCTGCAGCAAATCCTCTCTGTGTACAGCAAGTCCTCTCTGTGGGTAGCAAGTCCTCTATGTCGGAGGCACGTTCTCTTTGTGGGCAGTAGACCCCGC